TTTCGATTTGAAACGTGAACGAAGTAAATTGATTTATTACTATCAAAGCTATGAACCACTGAATTTAAAGTATATTTCTGACTAGGATACAATTTTTGCAATTAGACAAGACCCTGTAAAGTATCATACAACCATCATAAACTATCACACCCTTCTCACAGACTACTACACGCTATCATACACAATCATGCACAATGATAAACCTTCATAACGAAAAAGATAATACTGGTTTCTTAGTAGAGAGTTTCATTTTTGAGTTGTTCCAGTACGAAGTCTCACGCACAGCCGAAGTGGTATTCTGCTCTATCTCCCGAAGGACGTACTATTATATCTAGATATTTTGGGGATGGTAGGCTAGTAGTGAGAATGTTCTTAAGAAACGGGAAATTTTCCAGGTAGTGAACACAAGGGTTGATATCACGTGCAGGTTCGACTGGTTGGGCTGGCAAGAAGTCACAAATATCATATTTTTATGATTCTTCGGAATGGTCCGCACTGACCGTATATCGCAAATTGTAAACTTTGGGAAAGAAGGTTGCATTCTAGTAGCTGTGAAAAGTTATGGGAATGCTTTTTCGGAATTTAGGAACGAAAAGAAGGATACTAAGGATAACATTATTTAGGAATTACTCCATACGATCATATGACCATTATACACTATCATAAACTATGATACAACCATTATAAACTTTTATACTCTATCATAAACTTATTTATTATACAGGCATTATAAACTATTATACCAGCATCGTAAACTATCGTACGCTATCATATGGAATATTTCTATTCTCATACTTAAAGTAGTACTATCTAAAAAGATTTTCATATTGCTTCGTGTCCATTATCGTCTGTTGCAGTAACGATCTGGAACTAGTTCAAATCCATTTGAAACCCTTGGCAGTCGAAGGCTAAGTTGCTGACTTGTGTCGCCCAGAGACACAACTTTTAATCGAAGAGATCAACACCGTCGATTTTAGAAGTTTGATTGATAATATGAAGAAACGCTTAGATTTAGTAGGAAAAATCGTGAGTTTATGCCTAATGCTATCGGCAATTGACGCGAGTCCGTATCAAAGAGGAGAAGAAATAAAACTAGAAAGGACAGAGATTAAATTCTTATCAACAAATGATTTAGTAAAGGTCAACAGAGTTAAACGGAGCGACGTGCATGGAGAATGCATAAAAGGTACGACTGGCCTCCTTGGTGGTACGCAAGTACTAACTGGCGCTGCTATGGGTGCTCTAATTGGCAGCACTGTGCCTGCTCTGGGCACTGCTATAGGCGCAGTAATCGGGTTTCTTGTAGGTGGCGTTGGGGGCGCAGGTATTGGTGCAGGTATGGGTGCGATCTTATGTCCGAGAAGTGACAATCTCAACGAAGCAAATTTAAATCTAGATTTAGGAATAATCGAAGATGACAGTGATATAACGATATTGAACGAACTTAAAAAGTTAAATCAAGCTTTGGATGTTAACTATTTATATATAATCGAAAAAAAAGATATTTCGGCTAAAGTAGTAGCTTCAAAGTTTAGTATCTATGAAACAGATACCAATGTAATTGTTAAATATCTGATTAGGCGTAATTTAATCGACACTTCTTTATTACTGAGACAATGGTCGACCATGTTTAAGGAACAGCAAAGAGAAATGGAACGGCAAATTAAAGAAGACATTCCTAGTTTTAGTATCGCGCAAAAAAGGACATGGTTGGATGATAAAAAGTCTCAGCTCAGATTTCTGTTCCATAGTTTGGCGCAGAACATTTTTATAATTAAAAATGACGAGTACATAAAGAAACTGTATCACAGGGTCCAGTCGTTGGAAAGTGATTTGAACTCTTTAAAAAATAAAATTGAGATGATGGGAAATGACAGTTCTATATTGTCTCTGTGCGGATCTGAAGCCAATGCTATTTCGGTATACAGTCGCTATGTGCCTGTCGTTGGTGAAGTAATCGAGTATGTTAGCGCATTAGTTTCCGCAACTTGCTTTTTGTTCAACGAATTCAATTTTTAATATAACATTATTTAGAGATTAGACTTACCTATTCATCCACAAGTGCACCTGCTCACGATGGGTCACGGTCAATGGGTCAGCGTCTTTGCCGCTC